GATAATATACTCAAATGAGCTAGAATCGTAATCATCTACTCAATTTTTAGTCAACTTGTAATTCTCATAAGTAGATCGAAGTTGCTAAGAGTTCCGGAATTTTGTAAGAATTTAAGGAAAGCTCTATTGAGGTATGTATGGCTAAAACCCCCTCTTCTTAGAAATTGAGCTCCTTTGGTGTCCATGCAAATGTTGTAAGACCAAAATTTGATTGATGTATTGATTGTTATTTCACATGAATTGGTGTTACAAATATATATGTGAAAGGTGAGTCTCAATGTGTTCAATATACTATTCTTGGTAATTTAAGGATGTGTGAAGAATGTGAACCATGTGTTGAAATGCCTAGACTTCAAGTCAAGTTTAAACTGAGATTGTTATGCCAAACTATGTGAAATCTTCTCTATGCTTACAACTTGAATTGCTCTTGTATGTGCCTATTATCCTAAATTGCAAGGTTAACATTGAAAGTGGAAATGATGTGAAACGTGGGGAAAAAGAGCTTGAGTTATGAAATGTGGCCTAGTGCCAAGTATGATGTGATAATTGTGGCCCCAAGTGCCTATGAATTGATATATGTGAAATAAAGATTGAAATGAGATGATTAATGAAAAAGGAACTGTCTTGGTAATACGGCCTAGCCGATCGGGCCGTGATCGGACGCCATGCTGCACACATGGTAGTATTGTGCTGATATTGAATCCGAAAAGTGAGAATGAGATTGTGATTGAGATACATGTCTCAAATGAGGAAACCTAGCCGATCGGGTCGTGCTCGGATTCCGCGCAAGAAAGCGGTGGTATTGTGAATGATGATGAACAGTGTTAAATGCCCCAACCTAAAGCTATGGAAATTATGTGAAAGTTATATGATCCTTTTATTTGATGATGTGGTGATCGTTTAAAGCTTTTGATTGATCCTTATGATTTCTTTGTTCTTGTATGGTAGTTCTTTCTAATGAGATGGTGTTTAGCTATACATATTAGTACTATTCCATGGTACTAACGTTCCTTTTGCCGGGGGTGCTACATCTTTGAATGGATGTAGGTGGCTCCATAGCAGACAGTGCCGATCGTAGGTAGTGGAGCATTCTCCACTCAGCAACCTTCGTGAGCCCCTTTTCTTCCAGGGGTTAGGCTGAATGTCTTTTGTTATAAATTTTCACTTTTTGAGGTATAGCCAGGACCTTGTTGTCGGCATTATCATAACTGTCTTTTACATCTTTAGAGGCTCCGTAGACGTTTGTGTGGGTTATGTACGGGTGATGGATGGGTCAATGAACTGTGTTGTAATTCTAAACTCTAGTTCTTCTAAACTGTAACTGTATGAAATCTTGGAAACTTAACTTTGGTTTAAATGTGGTAATATGAAATGAACTAGCAATGTTATATGTGCGATCTTTCCTACTGTCTAAATAAATGAAAGCATAGTTTTCTTGGTCATAGTGAGTTGGGTAGAAAGTGTTCAAAAGGCTTGCTCAGTTGGGTTCACTCGATTGAGCGCCGGTCGCGCCTCCCGAGGTTGGGGTGTGACACCGGATCCGCTCCCCCCGGCCCCATCGAAGCTGACCTCGCCCCTCGTGGTGTTGTTGTCGACCCTCTGCGTTGTTTGATTTGCTGGAGTACCGGGAAGAACTGGACCTCGTCCATTCGCGTTGTTAGAAGCTCCTGACAACGCATGCTTCAGCTCCGTCATGACCTTATCCTATCGTGTGAGATGGCCTATAAAGGCATCTTGTTGCTCCTGCAAGATTCTTACTACTTCGACGATGTGCTCTTCTTCAGCATCATCAAGAGTCGCCTCTCGAATATGTTATGGATACCGTTCGGCATGGACCAACGTGGCCTCATTCCCTTTGTTGAGGGTATTACTGATTGAATCGTCGTGGTGACGCTGATTTCCTTGGACTTCAACGTTGTGTGCGATATTGACACCGTTATATGCCATTTTCTATGTTTTTTGCTAAGAACAAATAATCAAACAAGTTAGTAATAGATACAAGGATCAACTCAATTACACAACTTAATACTGTAGAATATTCTTCATTAAGTACTACCGGGTGGCAGACATTTATTTCACCTTTATGAGTATCATTCTCTTTGGTAACAGACGAGATCGTTGCCTTCGGATCTGACTGCCTTCTGTCTTCGGCTCCACGTGTCACTTTCTCATGCGATCATTTAATAAAAACATATTTTACTCTATACAATAATACAAATGTGCCACATTTATTGGGGTAGAGCATTCAGGGGAGATAGTTAATTTCTTTAGCTAATCAAGTGGATAATCAAAAAATTTGGGTTAAATGTTCAAAAAGAAAATTCACAGAGTTGGCATCAATTCAAGCCCAACTCCTGCATAGAAAAACATGTTAGGCTTAAGTCTCAACATGTCACAAGCATTTACAGATTTAACAAACCCATTTCATTCCATAGTACATCATACAGATGTATGACACATTACTAGGACTAGATAAGCTTACTACAGCTTAGCATATCCTAATTTCATAATTTGGTCCCACACTAGGATCAAATATAAGTACAACAAATTGGATCCATGTTTAAAGTTAGGGATGCCTAATTACTACTTGTAGAAGGAGGGGCAAGACATTATTTCCGTCTTCTCCATGTCTTTCTCTGTTTTGCTACTAGTAACATACGGGGTCAGAAATAGTGGGCACACTATGAGAGATAGTTCAGAAATGAATTATATTCGGTATATAGAGGGATGGCTGTCGTGGTGGACAAGATACGGAAAGCGAGACTGAGATGGTTCGGACATACGAAGAGGAGATGCACGGATGCTCCATTGAGGAGGTGCGACAGGTTGTCAATGGTAGGTCCAAGAAGAGCAGAAGAAGCATTGGGGAAAGGTGATTAGGCATGATATGACACATCTTCAGCATACCGAGGACATGACTTTTGATGGGAGGGTGTGTAGGTCGAGAATTAGGGTAGAAAATTAGTAGGTAGTCTAACGTTTTTCCTTTTGGGCCCATACCTGTAATTTTAATATTATTCTCGTACTTTTTTATTCTTAGATTGGCTATTAATTACTACCTGATGTTACATCTACTTCGGTTTTACTATTAGCTTGCTATTGTTACTGCTTTTTTTTCCTTGACCTCTTTACTACTGCATTTTTCTTTTCTAAATAACTGTATTTATGCTTGCCTTGAGCCGATGGTCTATCAGAAACAGCTTCTCTACATGCACAAGATAGATATAAGATTTGCTTACGTACTATCCTACTCAGACTCCCCTTATGGGATTATAGTGGGTATGTTATTGTTATACCATACAGGTTCGGATCATTGGCCTAAACCCCCACCAGGATGCATTTCCCTAACTCTATTATTGATGTAAATCCAAAGTTTTAATTGGCCCCTCCATCATTTCTGGACTGATTTTTGTTTGCTGATTTGGGGCTCACTTCGTACAGAAAATAATAATAGAAAATCAAACACCTTTAAGAAAATAAAAGCATGATGAGCTGTAACTTGTAGGTCTAAGTGCTACTAAGGATTGGGGGATGACATAATAAAGAAGTGTTCTGGGACCCTTGAATTTTGATGATATTGCCATTATTGCACCCTCACTCCTCTGAGTGCTTTTTTGCACTTTTAATTTATATATTTTTCAAATAAAATAAAAGGATCTTTTAACTGTTGCATATCTATCTACTTCCCATTCCTTGCTTGTATAAATATGTCAACCTAGCCTTCCTCATTTCACAGCCAAGTACAAATTAAAACTTGCTACTCTTTTGCAACTCTAGCATTTTAGGTGAGAGACCGATCGAGTGCTAGAAATTTGCAATTCTTGGCTAGAAACTTACTTAAAAAAGAGATGGCGGGTATTTCTGGTCACTGGGCTTTTGCTTTTGGTGTCCTTGGTAAATAAAGCCTCTTTTTCTTTCTTGCTTCTTAAATGTAAAATATTCTGACTGAATTCCTTAACTATCAACTTTCATCCTCGAGGTTAAACTCATCGTCTCTTTTCTTTTTCTTTTGTAATTGCAGGTAACATCGTCTCGTTCATTGTGTTCCTTTCTCCACTGTGAGTTTCCACTTGCTTATAATTTTGAAAATGTTCAGTTTTCTTGGTTTTTTTAATCTGACTAACACTCATACTTTCACACTTACAGGCCCACGTTTTATAGAATCTACAAGAAGAAATCAACTGAAGGCTATCAATCGATTCCTTATGTGGTTGCTCTATTTAGTTCCATGCTTTGGATATACTATGCATTTCTCAAGACCAACACGACACTTCTCATTACTATAAACACTTTTGGGGTCTTCATTGAAACTATCTACGTCGGTTTCTACCTTTTCTACGCACCAAAAAAGGCTAGGGTAAGGTTTAACATGATATCACGTGAAGTACCTTTTTTTACCAAAAATTTCTTTTTCCTTTGTTTCCTTTCCAATAGCAAGAAAATGTAACTTTTGATTTTCAAAATTTACTTAATACAGGTCCAAACTGTGAAAATGCTCCTATTATCAGTGGTGGGTGGATTTGGTGCTATAGTTCTGGTTACCCAATTTCTGTTCAAAGGAGCAGTTCGTGGACAAGTTGTTGGATGGATTTGCCTTGTGTTTTCCTTGTGTGTGTTCGTAGCACCCTTAGGCATTGTGGTGAGCTTTTACATACAAATATTTCAAAACGTGGTCGTCTTCTCTATTTTACTTCCACGCACGAATATATATAATGCTCATGATTTTTCTCACTTTATGCAGAGAAAAGTTATAAAAACAAAGAGTGTGGAATACATGCCATTACTCCTGTCAGTGTTTCTCACGTTAAGTGCAGTGATGTGGTTCTTCTATGGTCTTCTACTTAAAGACATTAACATTGCTGTAAGTTCTATTTTCAATTTCTCAAACCACTTTTCTACATTTACGCTATGTTTACATACGTAGACTATTTATCTTGGATCTTATATATGTAGTTTCCTTCTTATGTTTTATAGGCTCCAAACGTATTGGGATTCTTCCTTGGTATTGTCCAAATAGTGTTATATGTAGTATACAACAAAAAAGAGAAGGCAAACCTAAAAGAGCAGAAACTTCCAGAGATACAAAAGCCAGCAGTCATAGTGGTGGATGAGAAGATGAATAACACGAAGTTCCCAGAACTAACACAGGAACAGATTATTGATATTGTGAAGCTTGGTTTACTAGTTTGTTCAGAT